CGACGTAACGTACGTTACGTACCGTACGTACGACGGTACGGTAGTCGTAACTACTACTCTCGTACCCGTACGTTACGTACGTAACTACGTTACGTTACGTAGTCTCTCTCTCTCTCTCTCTCTCTCTCTCTCTCTCTCTCTCTCTCTCTCTCTCTCTCCACCATTCATTTTGAGGTATAGTGGAACCATCATTTCTTGACGTCCATCTATATCTAATACATGAGGAGACGCACGTGTTTGGGCCAGTTGGCTGACTCAATTAAACTGTGTCGTACTAATCTCAGTATATGTTTGCACTTGGGCTTATATGTTTTAGTGGCGTTAGAGGAGATTTCATGGATCTTTGCTTCTTAGTCAATCTACCAGATGGAAGGTGGATGGCCACCGCAGTATTGATCTAATGCAGTGCGAGGGGCTGCTGGATAATGGCCTTTAATCAATTTATTATCATTTACTTCTACAGATTCTTCAGGATTTTCCTTCTTTTATCTAGTTTTTCGAAGCTTTGGCCTCGGACTTGACCGAGTAACTCCTCCAGGCCCCAAGACAATTTCTACAGCCGAGCCAAGCCCAAAAACCATGTCTCAATGTACGGATGATAGGGAAATGGACAATCGCTAGCCCATTATCAGTTCATCAGAATCACCTTTAGCTGGTTATTGCCGTAATTTATTTAAATTCACATAAACTCACCTCCTAAAAATGCAACCCAGATTGCAAATAAACAAACCAAAAGCCACATTAAGTACGTTCTCCAAAAACAAATCACTAAATACAATTACAAATGATCCCACTGGACAAATTTACCCTATTCTGAGATCTACATAACTTCCTTACTATATGATAAAATATGAGGGCATGTGTTTTAAATTTCAAAGTTCTTTTTAACCATGTAACTACATTCAGTTCTTACAAAACAGAAAGAGATCACAACTACAGAGACAATGCCAGGCAAATACCAACTACTGGTTAGGCCATAACCAAGTATGAAAAAAGAAAAAAAAAATCCAAGCCCAATTAGCATTTATGTTGCTCACCTTTAATAAACCAGAATACTGGAATATCAGACCAATTTCTGCAACTAAAAAAGGCTCAGACCGTTCCTCATAGAAAAGAAGACGAAAACCAGAAGAAGAGAAGGAACAAGAAGAAAAACAAAAGCAATACAAATGTTTGACGTGAGAAAGTGAACCTGGTTTGTAACCGAAGCAAAAGTAGAGAGATAGGCAAGATTGGATGTAGCAGTCCCCAAAGAAAGAGGAGAGGAGAAGGCAGGATGAGAAAGAAGCCATAGAGAAGGAGAGCGAGGTCATTCTCTCTCTCTGTTCCTTTTCTACAAGAGAGAGATTCGCTATAAAGCCTTAACAATTTTTCCAAGTGCATATTGGAGTGCCAAGGCTCTTATGTGGTTGGGGAATATCTACGATGGATTGGATTTGAAATAGCTAAATAAGGGAAATAATAAAGGAGAGTCAAAAGATTTTTCAAATATATGGAGGCCGAAATATTATTTTTTTTTATAATGTTAACTTCGTATTGCTGTAAGAGAGAGAGTACAAGTGAAGGGGAAAAGAGGGGACCACGAGTACCCACAAGGCGGGTACCTCGATCAAAAAAATAGGTCTGAAGACCCTATACAAAAAAACCGGCCCTGTGCTGCCAGATTACAAAAATTAGAGTGTAGCAAAAAGGGCTTATAAGAGACGCCCGAATGCAACAAAAAAGGAAAGGTAACTATAGTCCTGGGAAGCCTCTGTAGTCCAAAGCAAAAAAGGAGATGGACCGTGCTCCGTCTTTAGCAAGAAGATCAGCGAGCTAGTTCGACGTCCGACAAGTATGCCTCCATAAGACATTTATATCCCTGCATATATGGTTGATTTCATCAAAAATCATGGAGAGGCACCAAGGAGAAGGGGAGGTGCCTGCTGCCCAAGAGATGATGTTTTGGGAGTCTCCTTCCACCACCAAGAGTTGGCCCCAAGAGGGGTTGAATCTTTTAAGACCCAGCAAGAGAGCCAACACTTCAGCGAACTGGGAATCTCCATGTCCCACATTTTCCGAGTAGATGAGGAGAACATTGCTGTTGTGATCAGGAAATACCCTTCCTGCCCCTGATGGCCCTAGGTTTCCCAGTGAATAACCATCAAGAGTTTGATGGCGTTGACCAAAGTGGCCACCCTGTTGTGAGGTCTTTGTTTCTTGTGAGGTTGGAGGTTCAAAAGATTGTCCCACTGACTAAGAAATGTGTTAGAAGGGATCCCTACAAAATCCTTGCGAGAAGAAGCCCAAAAGGTTACCAATGACGTAACCTTCTAAAATAACACTAGAACTTCTCTTTTGTAGCCTTGGAAAACCCTCTCATTCCTCTCTATCCAAATAACCCAAATGGTTGCAGCAATTGCGGACTTCCACAAAGTTCTGCCAGCCTTAGGCCAATGGTAGCCGGGATAGGAGGAAATGAGAGCCTTGACTGAGGGTGGAAGAACCCATTGAATTTGAAACAGCTGAAGAATACGGCTCCAAAGTTCAAAAGCCAGACTGCAATGTAGGAAAAGGTGAGGGTTAGTCTCTTCCTCGTGCAGGCACAAACTGCATCTGTTTGGAAGCGAAAGTCCTCTTCTTTGAAGGTGATCGACTGTGAGCCCGTTGCAGCAAGCTATCCAATTGAAGGTTTGGACTTTTGGAGGAGCTATGGTTGACCAGACTTTGGATTGAACGGAAGTGGGGTTCAGTGGGTAAGTAGTGGGTTGAATGACTTTGTTGTTGTAGAAGGAGGCTATTGAGAAGATACCTGGGGAGAGAGAGTCCATACCAGTGAGTCAGTCCCTGAGGGAAATAAGCAGATGGGGTGTAGGGCAGCAGACAGAGAGATGAAGAGTGGAGTCTCTTTTTCGGTTAAGTTCCTTTTGAAAGAGGGATTCCAAGACCTTCTGCCACCTAATAGGACCATCTCTTCAGCGATGGTTGAATCTTTGTTGGCGGAGAGGTGGAAGAGTAGACGCCGAAATATCCATCTCCAAATGAACTATTTTGAAGATGGGAGGATAAGCCTTCCAAGAGACATGGTGTATGTTACCTATTGAAGGCTTTTTAAGGCGAAGTTTAGAATAGGATACATGTGACTTATTTACTAATATATATGCAATCATATTTTTGAAAATTTGATGAAATTATTCATTCTCACTTTCTCTTCTAGGCTCCAACTTTATTTTTAAAAATTGAGAAATATATCAAAAGGAAAAGTTTATATAGAGCCGAGGCTCTAAACAATCAAATTTACGGATGATAGGGAAATCGATAATCGCTAGCCCATTATCAGTTCATCAGAATCACCTTCAGCTGGTTATTGGCGTAATTTATTTAAATTCACATAAACTCACCTCCTAAAAATGCAACCCAGATTGTAAATAAACAAACCACAAACCACATTAAGTACGTTCTCCAAAAAAACTCACTAAATACAATTACAAATGATCCCACTGGACAAATTTACCCTATTCCAAGATCTACATAACTTCCTTACTATATGATAAAATCTGCGGGCATGTGTTTTAAATTTCAAAGTTATTTTTCACCATGTAACTACATTCAGTTCTTACCAAACAGAAAGAGATCACAACTACAGAGATTATGCCAAGCGAATAGCAACTACTGGTTAAGCCATATTCCCAGTATGAAAAAAGGAAAAAAAATCCAAACCCAATTAGTATTTGTGTTGCTCACCTTTAATTAACCAGAATACTGGAATATCAGACCAATTTCTACAACTAAAAAAGGCTCAGGGCGTTCCTCGTAGAAAAGAAGATAAAAACCAGAAGAAGAGAAGGAACAAGAAGAAAAACAAAAGCAATACAAATGTTTGACATGAGAAAGAGAACCTGGTTTGTAACCGAAGCGAAAGTAGAGAGATGGGCATGATTGGATGCGGCAGTCCCCGACGAAAGAGGAGAGGATAAGGCGGGATGAGGAAGAAGCCATTGAGAAGGAGATAGAGGTCATTCTCTCTCCCTCTCTGTTCCTTCTCTTCGATACAGAGAGCCGCTATACGGCCTTAACAATTTTTCCTGCTGCAAATTGGAGGGTCACGGCTCTTTATATGGTTGGGGAATTTCTAGGAAGGATTGGATTTAAAATAATAAAGGAGAGTCAAAAGATTTTTTAAATACATAGAGGCGGAAAAATCCATCTCCAAATGAACTAGTTTGAAGACGAGAGGCTCAGGCCATTCAAGATTTAGACATGGTGTATGTTACCTATTAAAGGACTTGGACTTTTTATGGGGAAGTTTAGAATTTGTGAGTTATTTACTCATATATATGCAATCAAATTTTGGAAATTTTGATTAAATTATTTGTTCTTACTTCCTCTTCTAGTCTCCATCTTTATTTTTTAAAATTGAGAAATATTATATCAAAAGGAAAAAGTTTATGTAGAGCCGAGGCTCTAAACAATAAAATTAAAGCCCACCTCAAAAATTTCACTAGAAGATGTTGTTTTGATGCTCAAATATTCTCAAATTGATCGTCTGACATAAAGACGCATAAACATGAGAAAAAAAAATGGATTTCAAGTTTTGGAAATAAGACATCTTGTAATGCATTTTTTGACTGTCAATTTTCAAGATTTTCAAGTTTTCATAAATCCGTTCGATCTACGCTATTTTTCAAGCTTTAAATTTTATAATTAGATATGAAAATATATTTTAAGGCTATAGCAAAGATTTTCAATATTAAAACCACATTTCTCGACACTATTTGAAAGTTTGTTCTACTTTGATTGTTGAGAACCGCGGCTCTATACATACACCATATTACCAACTACTTTACACGTTCCAATCAACTATTTAACAGGTTACATTTTTTTTATTCTCTTCTAACATAAAATTATATATATTTGATGGGTATTTTGAAATTAAATCAAAACACACACTGGCAAAATGTTAAATACTCGATACCTCTAGTGTATTTTGACAACGCTCACTTGTAAATTTAGTGAGCAAACTCTATTAGTTTTTCGATATCTATAATTAAAATCCAGTAAATTAATGTCAATATCCCATTATTTAGAGGTATTTAAAAATGCCCATGGAATTTTGCTTCCCCAGACATTCGCATTTCTTTTTTTTCTTTTCTTTCTTTCCCATAATGCCTTCCGTTAAAAGTCCAAGTACTAAATCATTCTTGTTATTTATTTGTTTATTTTTATTTTTATCAATTTGTTAGTTTAGAACTTTGAGTTCCAAGCATATATTTCTATTGAAAATTGATGTTCAAAACTTGAAGTTTCGAACTTGAATCTCGACAAAAATATCGTTTGGAATTTCAAATTCCGAACCTCTTTTGTTGTTCTTTTTCACTTTTTACCTAATTGTTAGTTTGGAACTTCCAATTCTAAAATATGTTTGGAATTTGAAACTCTGAACTAACCATTTGAAAAAAAATTGAAAATGGAATAGATTTGAAACTTGGAGTCTCAATTATTATTTTTTTTTGTTCAAAATTTAAGTTCAAAACCCCAAGTTCCAACATTAATTTTTAACCAAAAAACAATATGTCTAGAAGTTGGAGTTCCAAAAAACAACAAAACTAAAATGTGAAAGAAGTCAGTTTGGAACTTGCAATTTCCAAATTAAGGGCATTGAGAAAAAAATAAAACATGCATGTAAATTTGAAAAATGTGAGGATATTTTTTTACAAGGCGTAGTTTATATAAGGTGGCAACCTTATTTCTAAAATAAAAGTCGCAATATTCCATATTGTCACTTTAGTTAGACGGTGTAGATTTAACATATTTTTTAATACCGTGTAAAAAAGTAACAAATATTTTAAGATAGTGCTGAATCTATATTGTTTAAATAAAATAGATGGTATTGATTATGGCAACCTTACATCTGTAAGTAAAGTTGTAATATTATATAATTTTTTATTTATTAAATACTATTGAAATAAATTACCTTATTTTTATGGGATCTTACATGGGTGTATTTAAATATGGCACTAACCCTAAGTGATAAAAATATGTTAAATCTTCTAACTTAAGAATGCAGTTTTTGTGTTAAAAACTCCTGTAATTATCTAAAAAAAATTATTCTACCCCCAATGATCATCATCATCAAAGCCCTTTCCCAACTAATTGGCAGCTACACGAATCTTGGTCCATCATTATAATCTATTAATAGTCATATCCGAGGCCATATATTCCTATATCTTTTCTAATGACTTCCAACTATATCGTTTTGGACCTACCTCTTGCTTTTTTTAGCCTTCCACTTGAACTACCTCACACTTTCTAACATGTATTGTACTAGGTCTGCGCCATACGGGGCCAGCCCGCATAAATCCATTCTCTATCATCTTATCGCCTATTAACGCCACACTTAATTTTTTTTTAATATATTTATTTTGAATCTATCCCTTTTTGTCTCTCCATTCATCTATCTCAATATCTTCATCTCTACTATACTCATTCTATGGGTATATTGTTTTTTGACCGCCCCAACATTCTGCACCATTGAGCAATGTTAGTCTCACAGTTGTCCTATATAAATTGCCCTTCAACTTCATTGGTACGCAACGATCACATAAAATTCTTGTTGCACATCTCCACTTCTCCCACCCAGCTTTAATTCTATGTGTGATATTTTCCATAATCTCTCTATTTTCCTTAATTATATTTAAAGTGTGTTTTTTTTTGGTATTTCCTAGACGTCAATCTAAAGTACTTCCTCATCTCTACCCTTTATTAGTATTAAACATGTATTCCATATACTATATTTTAGTCTGGCAAATTTTAAAATATTTAGATTTTAAAGCATCCCTCAAAATTTTTAATTTTGTGTTGACACTGTTTTGGGCATCATCAATCAAAACTATATCATATGTGAATAACATGCACCATGATACCTCATCTTGTAGGTGCATACAGTTCATAACTAAGACAAAGTCGTATGGTCTTGCTGACCCCTGATGTAAACATATTGTCACTGAAAACTCACTCGTCTCTTCACTAGTTGTTCATACAATAATTAGCGCTCCATCGTACATATCTGTCTCCAAGTTGATGTAGTGCTTGGAGACTTTTTTCTAACACCCACCAAATCAAATATCGAGGACTCTACCATAACCTTTCTTTTGATAAATGACGACCATGTGGAGTCTTTTCCCTTTGCCCTAGACTTCTCAATCAATTGCCTAAGTAGGAAAACAACCTCGGTTGTTGACCTCCCTAGCATAAAACTGAATTGGTTTTCTGATACACTTATTCCATGCCTTAGTCGTTGTTTAATCACTCTCTCTCAAGGCTTCATCGTGTGGCTCATAAGTTTGATCATTCGATAGCTCGCACAATTATGCGTGTCTCATTGGAACTTGTAAATATGTACCACAATACTTTTTCTTTATTCATCTGGCATTTTCTTTTATTTTCAACAACTTGTTAAATAGTGTGGTCGGCCAATCAATGTCAATCTCCCCCATGCACTTTCAAACCTCTATCAATATACCATATGGTCCTAAATTATTTCCTATATTCATCATTTTCAAAGTTTTTTTCACTTATGATATCTTAATCTTACAAATGTGTCTATGATCTCTGCCTTCATTTATGCCAACGGTTCCTTCTACTGCCACGTTCCCATTGTGTTTGTCATTTAATAATCTTTTGAAAACAAACTCTCTACCTTTCGTTGACCTACAGTTTTTCTCTCTCTCACTTTTCCTTATTTTTTCACTTTTTCTTGTTCTCAGATTACTTTATAGATTATCATATGCCTTAAGTTTACATTTACTTATCATTTATTTAAAGTTTTTTTAGCATTTTTATATTCTTTAAAATTTTGATAATTTTTATTACACTGTCAAGTTTTATAGCATGATTGTTTTTGTTAATGGCCTTTTGAACCTCATCACTCCACCACCAAGTTTTCGCTAATGGCCTTTGGAACCTCATCACTCCACCACCAAGTTTCTTTATCTAAATTTATTTCCCCTTTAGATTCTCCTAAAACTTATTTTGCCACTTTCTTAATACAGTCAGCTATCTCATTTCACACAACATGGGCCTCATGTTCAAAGTTCTATTTTCTTTCTTTAATTAAGTTTTTCTTAATAAATATAGTTTTTCATTTTTTAAATTCAACCACCTTGTTCTTGGACACTTACTAATTTCACTCATTCTTATGCAAACATTTATAATGGCAAGCCTATATTGGGTGTCAAACTCTCTCGTTGGATAACCTTGCAATATTTACATGATGGTTGATCTACCTTCTTAATTAGGAATAGGTTTATTTGGCTTTTATGTGATCTACTTTTATAAGTTATTAAATGTTCATTTCGTTTTTTAAAGTAAGTGTTTTTCATTGTCAGGCCATAACATCTAGAATAGCCTTACATATCTCATTCTTTCCCCTAAACCCAAATCCCTTATGTACCCTTTCATATCCTCTACTATCATTCCTTATATGACCATTTAAATCTCCTCCTAAAAAAGTCATTTTTCAATTTGGAATGTCTTGGACTATTCCATTTATATTACCCCAAAATTGTCTCTTAACTATATACTGTAATCCTATTTGTGGTGCATAAGCACTAATTGCATTATTTATCTATTCTCCTAATATAAGTTCAAATAATAGGAACCTATCATCTATTCTATTGACGTTAATTGCTTTATCTTTTAAATATTTATCTACTATTATGCCTGGGTCATTTTTATTATTATCCTTTATTGTATACCAAATTTATATCCATCTACTTTTTTAGCTTTTTCTCCATTCTATTTAGTTTCTTGTAGACATATTATATTTACTCTCATTCGTCTCATTGTATCCACTAACTCCATACTCTTACCTATAAGCATTCATATATTCCATGTAGCTAGACGAATCATATTTTCTTGAACTAACTTCTTTACCCACACTCGTCCAGAATGTCATCAGAACCCTTGCCTATTTTTCAGTGCAACTGGTCGGCGATGCGATACATTGCTTCTGAGAAACGGCCTAGCAAGCCCTTGCTCATTTCTTATTGTACTCGGGTTCCGGTAGCCCTAGCATAAATAAATACTATATGTTCAAAATTCATGATAAGTTTTGACAAAATTTTACGTTCTTTGCCTACTTAACACAACCCAACCCCTTCACCCAGGCATGTGACAAGAAAAAATTGAAGGTCTTCCTCCCTTCTTACACCATTTCCACCCTTAATTATAAATTTTGAAGAAAAAAAAATTCTGACAAGGAAAAGTTTAAGATCCTCACCCCTTCTTATACCATTTCCACCTCTAGTTATAATTTTTGAAGAAAAAAAAGAACGTAAGTAAAAATCTACGAACACCTAAAGACCTCAAAAAACATAGATAAAAAAATGAATTGCAAAATATATAATTTTTTTAGGACTTACAGATCTTGACTTTTTCATAACTAATGGACATCTCAATTTTCGAGGTCCGCCTTCTTTTACACGACGAGGTTTCGCCCTGTAGTAACACATTGGGCTTGAATCTGCGCGTGGCGCGAAAATGGCAACTACCTGTTGCACTTGTTGGTTTCATCCTCTTACTAATACCAAATTACTATTTTGCCACTTCTTCAAAGGACACGTTCCAAATAAAGGACTCGTTCGAACCTCCTCAACGGGCCATAGGAAAGCAGCTGAGCGAAGAAAGGGGAGGGCGTTTTCGTCATTTATGGAAAAAATTATGTGAAAACGGCGAGAGCGCGCTGCTACTACAACCAGTCCCATTTCGACATTTCTCCTTCTCTCTGAGATTCAGAGCATCTCTCTCTACATTTATACATCAATTTGAACCCTCTCTCTCTATTTAATGTCATTTTCTCTCCTGCTCTCCCTATATTTGTCTCTCTGCTCTCTCTATACAATTTTTTTCACGACTCCCTGTGCAACCCTTCTCAGTCGGTCTCCTGTGGCGAATTAGGGCTCGTTGTATTATTCTTTTCGAATTAAATTTGGGCTCGTTGTATCCCCTTTCATGGCGCTCTCCATGTCTCTCAGCCCCGCTGCTCAAACCAAGGCCTTCTCGATAAGAACTCAACTTCAATTTAGTTCCTCTCCCCGGACATGCAGCCGTCAAAGTGAGAAATCCCTTTCATCTCACTCCATATCCATCTCCATCTCCATCTCCATCTACATTTTACTTTCAGGGCATTTTCCACTCTAATTCTCTCTCTATAAAGATTCAGGTTTCGGATCGCTTAGCTTTAAATCAATTGGGAACAAGGGTTTTCGCCCTCTAAGAGCCTCGACCATGACTAAAGTGAGGTCAGCTAATGATCAAATCAAGGACATTAATTCAGTTAATCCGATCATCGTGATTGATAACTATGACAGTTTCACTTATAACCTTTGCCAGGTATGATGCAAAGAAAGAAAAATGCAAATCTTTTGGGTTTCATATATAATTCCTTGCTAATTGCTTCTGATTAATCTTTGCATGTCACCTTTTTTTCTTTTTAATTGCGTTTTGTATGGTTTTATTAAGTATCTAAATTTCATGAACTAATTTCTGTGTTTATTGTTTTGGGTATGTTGGGCTCTATATAGGACTCTCTGCTATTTGCTTCTGATTAATATTTGCATATCAACTTTTTGAATTGGATTCTTTATGGGTTTATTAACATTTGCATGTTACTTTTATGAATTGCGTTTTGGATGGTTTTATCAATGATCTAAAGTTCATGTCCTAATTGCTATGTTTGTTCTTACTGGTATGTTGGGTTTTGTATGGAATTCTTTGGCATTTTATTTTTTGGTTTTTTTATTCTTTGGTATTGTATATCACTGATTTATATGGCTTTGTATTGGTTTATATGGTTTATTAATGAAGTCGTGTTAACTAAATTCTTTGTTTATTTTTATGAGCAGTTTTTTTAAAAAAGGACTTGGTTCATGCCTTGCTAGGTCTGAGTCCAAATAAAAACTAACAAAATATTGGTAACAAGCCAGAATAGGCTGGTCCCATTTGTTTGTTCGCCGAAACAGCAGCCTGCTGAGTGTTAGTCGAGGTTTTCTCTGGTGCGGAGCAATTTATCAGTAATGCAGATTTTTACATGATTATTTAAATATATGATTTAATTGGACATAGGCAGTGGGTATCATATTACTGAAGGATAACATGAGGCTAATTGGCAGAATAGATAAATGAGATATACATACCATGATTTATTTGATCCCGTGTAGATGAGAATGATTCTGCATGCAATATGAGAGCATGAATATTTATATTCTCTCTGCTTTCTTTAGTGATGATCTGACTTTGAGTTCTAGCATTAGTGTAGTTATTATCTAATGCAATTTGAGGCTCTCCAAAGGGGAGCTAAATATAGCAGGGAATGCTGAAACTTTACCATTTTGGCATTCAATTTCAAGCCTCTCATACATCTGACCAAGGTGGACTTTCTCTCACTCTGACTGACTATGATCAACTACGAACTCCAACACCCTCTCGCTCTTATGGATCCCACTTGCTGAAGGTGCCATTAAACGTAACTTCGATGGCTGCTCTCTCAAAAACCTGGGTCCCTGTGGTTTTGAGGGTTTATTCCAGGATACCAACTGCCCTATTTTGTCATCCTTCATAGGTGACTGCACCTGGGTTGAGGCGAATTCCCAGCTGGAAGGTTTGGTCTCTCATGGTGGAAGGTGATAATACTAACATTACCAGCTGGGCCAATAGATCGAACCAGAGTCCTTAGCCTCTTGATGCTGTAGTTGACTGCGTATTTTCACCTCTGCAGGCATCTTCGAGTTAACTTCCTTTATATTTGGCAAGAAGCTATTTCAGAGGCGTACATGTTAACCAAGGAGGGAACTGCTAGCAGGGCGCTCCCAGCATTCTAGTTTTGGGTTCATGGACACCTGCTTCCACTGGCTTTTTGTGTTGTCTTTTCTGCTGACTTTACTCTATCTTCTCTTTTCTCCGTCTCCTTCTACTCCCTCTCCTTTTTCTCTATCGCTTGTCATCTCTATCCTCTTAACTTCTCTTCTCATTACCCTTCTTTCTTTTTTCAAATCCCCTAACTTCTCCCCCTTCTCTCTGTGCGCTTTCTCTTTCTCCTTCATCTTGAGTTTTTCTGGACCACCCAAATAGAAGGCCCTCTTCTGAGCTCTTTCTCTCTCTCACTCCCCCCCCCCCCCCCTTTCCCCTGCTTCTCTTTTCCCCTCTTCTCACCTTACCCTTTCTTAGCTATCTCCCTCTGCCCTTTATGCTTAAATTTTTCAAAAAGTCTCTCTGAGCTCTTGAGAAATGTGGGATGCCTCTTTCTTTTCTCACTATGAGCACCTGGTCTGTGGGCTGCTACTAAGATTTCTTGGAGCACCTGACATGTGGGAAGGCCTCCTTCTCACTCTCTCCCATGGCACCCTCATGCCTTTCCCCCATCTTTCCTTCCCTTTGTTTTTTCTCGGTCGTTGCTGCCCTCCTCCTAAGTCTTTCTCCTACATAATTATTTTTGGGCTATGTTAATCGACACTTTTTTAAGCATTCTTTTTTGGTTGGTTACTTTATCATTCTTTTTGTAAAGGAGCACCCAGTTTGTGGGCTGCCTTTCTCTCACTTGTCATGAGGAATTTTTGTAAATATTTATCTATAAGGCAAGGTTTCTATGCTTCCCCTACAGCATAAAAGTTATATACTTCCCCTTATCCAACTGTCCATTTTGAATGGAGGGCTAAGATTGTCCAAATCACAATGTCACGTCTCTACACTATTTTATTTTTAATTTTTTTTTCTATAAACTATTTTGACAACAAATTTTGGACGTCCAATCCTCTATTAAGCTCACACTAGCGAAAAATATTAAAAAAATATTTTCAATAAAATAAAATGACCAAAATACCCCTGAAAGATTCAAGGGATATTTTGGTCATTATATTTTATCGAAAAATTATTTTTAGTATTTTTTATTGGTGCGCCCCAATGAAAAGATGGTACGTACGAAATTTCATGTTCATACAATTTGTATAAAAAAAAACTAAAAAAAAAAATACTTTGAGACGTTGGTTCTAAGATCAAACGGTGAGTGGCTCTCTTGATCAAAATTGGATGGCTGGATGGTAGGGGAAGCATAGATCTTCTATGCTGTAGGGGAAGTATAGAAACCTTTCCGTTATCTATATATTATTCAATTACCATTTTCCAGGAAAAACACAAATGATCCCAAATTCAATAAAAAGGCTGTTAGGATATAGTTAGAATTGGCTTTGCTTGTTGCCTTAATGGAATGATACTGTTTACTCATTTTGCATGTTCAAGCATATGTAACCATCACACTTTCCTGGTAGAGCAATAGCCTCCAATATCTGTTGTTCATAAGCCAGTCAAGGGTGGCAAAAACCTTTTGATCATCCACCTTAATCACCTCTTGACGACCTTTTGCCCAATGAACATGATCTCCTCCTAGGCAAAGATGCAATTTTCAAGCTTTACATACAACTGTTTTGTCCTCAACCTATCCGACACCAGCCTTAGATGTGTGATATGGTCATCTAAGGTCTCATTATATGCAGCTATGCCTTCTAAGTACACAATAATCGAATACCAATACATCAATGTACTTCCTAAGAACATCATTAATAGGATGCCAAAAACGTGCCCGGGCATTAATTTGCCTAAATGGCATTACAATGAACTCAAAAGACCCATAACGGGTTACACAAGGAGTTTTCTCTTCATCCCTTTTGCGATGCAGACTTGCCAATGCTCTTATTGCAGGTCAAGCTTACTGAAGACTCTATCCTTGGCTAACCAGTCAAACAGATCACTAATCAAGGGCAGTGGGTAGTGATTATTGACGTTCAACTTGTTTAGGGCATGATAGTCCATACACGTTCTCAACAAACCATCCTGCTTCCATTGGAACAACACCGGTGCACCAAAAGGAGATTTGAACGGTTGGATCATCCTAACATCGAACAACTCATCCAATTGCCTTTGTAGTTCTGACAACTCCTAGGGACCCATGCTATAAGGATATCAGCTGGTTGGTGCACACCAATTTTGAGATTTATGCACTGATTCACGGCATGTGGTGTATGCAGCATCTTAGGGAGCTCTTGAGGCATCAGATTGTTGTACTCCTCTAAAAGCCCCATGATTGCAGGATGCACCATCAGTCCTCCTCCAATCTCTTTGGCCAACAAGGCCACTAGATAGGTGGTGTGACCTTGCTGCAACCTTGTCTTTATCTGCAATGTGTAGATAACACCTTACCCTTTTCCATGCAAGCCACATGGACCCTGCAGGGGCACTGTTTGTCCATGATGGCCACCACACCGAGGTGCGGCACAACAGATTCCTTGGCCAACATCAAGAAATCTAGTTGAAGAATAACCTTAAATTCATCCAAGGGCATTGCCATCAACGAAATCTGCCCATTCAAATTCCCAACCTTAGCAAGCACATCCTTGATTATCCCCACAACTGACTTGGCCACTAAGTTCACCACCTTCATTTTACTGGTGTCCCCAGCTAGTGTGAGGCTTAGTGGAGCAGCTTCTCGATCTGACAACAGATTGTGGGTGACACCTGTCTCCACCATAGCTCTCATCTCCCTTCCATTAAAGGTGACCTTCATGTACATGAGGCTACCTTTTATGGGGTTCTACTTTACTACCCTTGGCATCACATGAAGTTGGAGAAGAGTCGGCCTCACGACCTCCCCTTCCTCCTCATGGATCGTTGGAAAACGTTTAGGGGCCTGCCAGAAGTCCGTAACTCTAATGGGGCCCTTGCAAATGAAGCAGCCTGAGAAGTCCTTTCTGGCGACTATCTTGTTAGAAGACCCCTCCTATGGCCTTTGACTTTGGGTCCCCACTAGCTTTATGGACTTTCCCCTTGCTTGGTCGTGAACTCTCCTTGGAGGCATTGAGCTTATAATCCATAAGGCTCTCGGCTCAGCCACAGAGTGGAAGTCTTCTCCTCCTTAGGCAGTTGTTTATGTCAAGCATGAGGCTTGAGAATTGTTTGACACATACTAGCACAGTAGCGTGTTTGAGCTTCCTCAGAGCCTTCCCCACAGTCCATGAAGCATTTCTAGGCAATAATTGCTCTTTCAACTCCTTTAGATTCTCCAAAAAGCAAGGGAAGGTTTTGAGCCGTCGTCTATGGCCCTTGTTCTCCACCAGAGCATGGCATCTCCTATGAAGTACATGGTGGTTAGGTTCACTTGATCTTCCTCTTGGGCATGGACAAGAAGAAGCAGTGCTCCATAGCTCAAATGAATTTTCCAGCTCCTTCGCAATCCTAGCTCCCCCAAATGGCTTAGGCTTAGGCACTCGGACCCTTGTTGGTTGAAGGACACTCGGGGAGTTGTTCAGGCCATCTTGACCAAGGCAAGATCCTCAATCAATATCTTAAGGTTCCCCTTGAATATGTCGGTTAAGGCAGCAATATCAACCTCTAAGTCCCTCATGTGGGTTTCTTAAGCAGGGGCATGCTCCCCATGGGTCGTCACCTATTATTCATGCTGATTGGAGATGACACTCTCTTCAGGAAGTGACTTAGGATGCTAGATTCACAAGGAGATTTTGGCAACACTTGTTTGAGTTAATGGGCACAAAGCTAAACTTCTCGACTAGCAACCACCCTCAAAGAGATGGTCAAATTGAGAGGGAGAATGAAATGTTGTAGGACTAGCTCTGTCACTATGAGACTGCCAACCAGCATAATTGGGTTAACTTGCTCGACTTGACTTAGTTTTCCTACAAGTTACATCGCAGTTCTTCAACAGGGAAGAGCACCTTAGAGATGGTCACAGATCGGTAGCCTCTGGCATCACTTGATGTGGCCTGCAACAAGGACAATCAATGGCTTGCAGCCTTGACATTGGCCAAAAGAAAAGGCCGAGCAGCTTAAAGAGGCATGTGACACTCTCTACCAAACCGTTCAATGCATGAAGAAGTATGCTGATGCTGGCTGTCGACACCTTGAGTTTCATGACGGGGATTGGGTGATGTTCAAGCTTAGCCCCCGAATTTGGAAGGATATCAGCACCAAGATGGTGCATGCCATGGCTTAATCTAGTGATATGATGGTCCTTTTGAGGTGACTCGGTGGATAGGAAAGCAGGCCTATCTCTTGACCCTCCCTAACCAGATCAAGAGTTTCTTGAAGCCCTATCATCTCGACGAGGATGAGACAAGGGTTCAGGTAGTTCGAGCACCTCCACGAGTGAGGATGTAGTTCGCACTGGAGGTTGAGGCCATCCTGCCAGGACGAGTATTGGGGCAATGCAGAAAGAGCCGAAGTGTTTAGTTTCTGGTCAAGTGGAAGGGCTTGATGGAAGAGGAAGCTAGTTGGGAAAAGGATGTGACCCTGGGGAGTACGACAGTTTGGTTCGGAGTTCTTCGCTGGACTCTCGACGAGGACGTCAGGATCTCTTTTTTTTTTCTTGTTTGGGGGGCTTGTCAATGCATGTGTGCTGACTGAAGGCACTGAGCGTGAACATCCCCTGGTGCAGGAAACAATTGAAGAAATGACCTGATAGTCATGTTAGAATTCGTGCTGTTTTAATGTACGGAATCACCACTTCTGGTGGTCCAGGTCTTTTATCAACGGACCTCTATGAGGAGGGAACCCAAGCCTTGGGCCGACCAACCGACCTTAGCAGACAAGGCAAGTGTGGAGCATGGTACATGGGGGGTTATGCCCCCATGGTAGGCTATCACACAGCTGGATGTTGGGCCAGACGGTGATGCTTGAGTTGTGCAGTTGGCTACGCTTGAATTGCAAGCTATACGACCATTTACAGTATAAAATCCAAATACCATATACTTTCAGATTTGAAAATATTTTGTGATGCCAGTACCTAAAGTAGAAGGCATGAAAAAATGGTAGCTTGCCTTATAGTTAAAACATACATGTAGAATGACTTACCTCCATAAGAGTCACCAATGCATTGCAGACACATTACAACGCAGAACAGAGCAAATTGCAGTCCTAGTCCAGGAACACTTTTGGATTGATATTAATCCTGAACCCTGCGGGGTACATGTAGACAAAAACCGACATTGCTGATCCTTTAACATTTTGCCTTGTAAATACTTCTGTGCACTTTTAGCTTCACCTTTTTAAACAATCTGTCCATTAGCCCTACTCATTCACTGGAAATGTCTCTCATCAATTTACCATTTTACTCTCAGTTTCATTATGTTCCAGCCCATTCAATTTAAACTCTTAAGGAAACAAGTTCAGTCAATTTGTGTCTACCATCAATTTTGGTCTGAAGCTACTTTGGCAATAGTCTTGAAAATAATCCATTGGTACTTCTCTTCCTACTCCAATGACAAACGGAAAATATCTGTGTTGGTCATCATCAGCTTTCCTGTATCATTCCACATAAAATAGGAAGAGAAACCATGTTTTGTGGTACTCACCACCCCCTTTTTTTTTTATCAAACACTGTTACATTTAAATATTGCTCTTGGCATGCGTTTCTCCCATTACCCCTCGCTTGACTGAATATGATGTTCTTTCTACGTGAGAGATTGCCTGCTTAGAACTGACGATGAACAAAAAACAGAATCTCAGTGAAAACTAACCATGCCATTAATTAGTTGACATGCATATAATGCTTTATTTTTGAATAATATGGATTTATGCATGTCTAAGCAGTATATAGTTTTTCTTTACCATTTTGCAGTACTTGGGTGAACTTGGTGCTGCCTTCGAGGTGTACCGAAATGATGAGCTCACAGTAGCTGAAATCAGAAGGTTTTCATTTTTTTTTTCTTTCCCTAGGTTTTCATATGTAATGTCTTACCTTGTCGTCTTTGTTTAATTCTGAATGATTCTGTTCTGTCTTGTTAAGGAGAAGGCCTAGAGGAATACTTATTTCGCCTGGACCTGGTAAGATATTTTTCCCATGTGCTTGTTACTTATGAAATAATATTTATGATTATTTTACACTAAAAATAACCTTTTTTTTGACAGGTACTCCACAGGATTCAGGGATATCACTTCAAAGTGTGCTTGAGCTAGGGCCAGAGCTTCCTCTGTTTGGGGTGTGTATGGGCCTGCAATGTATTGGGGAGGCCTATGGAGGTAAGTGGTTCTATATCCTTGTCTATTTCAACTAAAAGGCAATCCTACTATTTTCTCTCATGCTATCTACTTTATTAAATGGCATCTCAAAATTTGTGAATTCGAAAGTAATATATGTTCTTTTGTTTTAGTGAATTGTGTTCCTACCTTTATATACTCTTACTATTTTGTTAAACAATATGCAACAAAATTGCAACCTGCAAAGGTTTTGGAGAGAAATCTTGGGAGAGCCAAAGAAATATCTTGCCTCCTGCAACAAGAAGAAAGTTCTCCTCCAAAGGGCCTCACTTGACCAATGCTGGCATTGGTGAAAATTGACAGTTTGAAAAAGCAATAAACCAAATACTTGCTTCAATACAAGTACAAAGCTGCACATCGACCTTAACTGGTCACCGTAGTGATTCGAATCAAAGTGAGTTAAGATGCTTAGAAATCATTCAGAATCAAACATTGACAATAAGGGTTAAACACAAACATATGACAACCAAGGGAAAGAAGAAAGTGAAAACCTTCTGATCTCTGCTACAGTGGGCTCATCATTTTGGTACGCCTCAAAGGTAGCACCAAGTTCTCGCAAGTACTGAAAACTGATAAAGAAATATGTGCCTCTTAGATATGCAAAAATCCATATTATTCAGAAATCAAGCGTTTTATGCACGTCAACTAATCAATGGCATAGTTAGCTTTCACTAAGATTCTGATTTATGTTCATCATCAGTTCTAAGAAGGCAATCTCTCACATAGCAAGAACATCACATTCAGTTGTGTGCGTGTGTGTGTTTCGCGTGTGGTCGTGTGTGTTTGTGTGTGATATTCTAGAATACACCATATTAATGGTGAACTTAGAATTTTTAGATTACACCATACTAAATTTTTGACAACAAAAGGTCCTTATAAATATACAAATTACATTAATAATACCTTGTTTGAAAATTTTGAGAAGGGCATATTTGTAATTTTAGATTGCTTTAGAGATCTACTCATCATTCAAGAAGTCAAATGAATATTTTTAAATTTGAAATTAAGTTTTGGAGGGATTGTAAAAAGAGAAAATGCCTTTCCCAAAATACATGAACTATTTATAGTCAAAAGTCATTTTCGCGCACAAAAGAGCATTTTATAGTGAAAGTTTCACCATTGGTGTTGGCTATTCTAGAATAA